TATTAACTTGTCGCTTACCGTAAGTCTTTTCACACTCTCTGTCTCTCTCTCTCTCTCTCTCTCTCTCTCTCTCTCTCTCTCTCTCTCACATGCGCGCACGCCCGCTCCCTCTCCCTCTCTCCGGGGCCCCGCGCCCGCGCTCTTTCCGCTTTGTTTTTCACTGTAGAGCGCGGCACCGGCGGTGACGGCGCAAGAGAACGACCTTGAAAAGCGAATGAAAAGAAAGAGTGAAAAAAATAGAGAAAGGGAAAGGAAGGAACGGCGACGAAATGAGAGGCAGGCTGTTGTGTAATTCGCTGTGAGCAAGTTACGACGGCGGACAGCGGAGAGAAAGAAAGGGGGAGAGAGAGAGAGGCGGAGAGGAAAGAGAGGCGGCAGGCGAGTGAAGGGCGACTGGGAAGAGCGGGAGAGCGAGCGAGAGAGGCAAAGAGAAAGAGAGAGAGACGGGAGAGGGGCCGAGCGGCGCGGTGAGGCGGTAGCGGCTGTGCTCTCGGTGAGGGAGGCGGCGGCGCTGTTCGGCTCGACCCGAGCCGAGTCCGAGCCGAGCCGAGCCGAGCCGAGCCGAGCCGAGCCAGGCGCGGCAGCAGCAACAAGCGTACTCAACTCACTCAAAGCCCGCGAGGCCCGTGGCGCGGAGCAAGGCGGAGCAGTGCAGCACCGCGGAGAGGAGCGCTTCTCGTCGCGTCGTGAACACCGGCCGACACGCCCATCCGAGTGTTGTTGGTGTTTGAGTGCGTGCGCGCGTGTGCTTAAGATCGCGAGTGACTACAGTGACACGGAGTGCTCAGTGCGACAGTGACAGCACGACAGCGAAAGTGATAAGAAAGGGAAAAGTGATAACGATGTGGTGGTGCAGCAACAGTGTCGTGGCAACGCGCAGCCTCCCCCTGTGAGCCCTCCCCCACCCGCCCCCTGGGGGTGGCGCCAGCCCCCGCCCCCGCCTCCAGTACGACTATGGCGCCAGTGAGGACAACCAGAAGTGACCTCCGCCACCCTCCCGACACGTGCGTGAGTGATAGTGAGTGACAGTGAGAAGTGACCAGTGCAGTGCCCCAACACACAGCGCGTCGTCAAGGCCTATTTGGATTACCACCACCATCACCTGCTCCAGCATCACCTTTACCCCCGCTGCAGCTCCACCTCGCCACCACGACAGCTGACTTTGTGATCTCGGTGAGTTCCGGACGGTGGCAGCCGCTGGTGACGCCCACCTCGCGCCGTGGTCTTGCACATGTGCATCGCGGCAGCGGCACGTGCCCGGCGCACTGCCAGGGGGGAGGCGGGGAGGGGTGGGGGAGAGAAAGGAAAGAGCGAGAGAGAAAGAGAGATAGCGCGAGTGCAGTGCAAGCATTGTGAGCGAGCTGAGTCACTAAAGCGTGAGGCCGGCCGACCAAGTGGGGCACATACTGCACACTGCACTGAGCTGTGCCGCGCGGGGGTGGACCGCGGTGAACCGGACGGCCAGTGGCTAGCACGAACATGAACCCCCGCGTCCGCGTCGCTTGTGTTGGACATAGGTCAGTCATTCGACCCCACTTACACAGGTTGAGGCAATATTAACCGCGTGTCTGAAGTATGAAAGAAATGCTTAAGCACTTAGTCAAATCCTCCTGGCCCTTTGTTACACGAGCAGGAAATGCTCTTGATTCTAATCAAGTTAAAATGCTGTTGAGGAAAGTAACTTTTCATTTATTTGTATTCGTAGTATCAGTGGAAGGACGTCACTGTCATAAGTTATATCACGTGACAGACGGGCGGAGCGACCCTCGGCCCTGTTTCAAGGGCGTCGCAGGGGTTAATTACAATGCGTTCGACTTGAACTCCCCAAGAATGCAACAAGAAGCAGCGGAGTGGGGACGGGCGGGACGAGGAGGGGCGGGTGAGGCGGCGTCGGGGGAGCGGGGTTGAGGCTCTACAGTAAAAATGAAGGGAAGTGGAGACTCATTCAGAATAGATAAATCGGTCTGGGGGAAGGATTATTACGTGTCTGGAAAGAAAGGTGGGGGACGGGGCGCGGCGGGGCTGGTCGGTGATGTCTGGCCAGGACCAGGGAATAAAAAGGGTTACAGGGCCCCCGCGCGCCCGACCGGGGCGACCAGCCCAAGGGGCCGCGCCACGCCCCGCCACGCCGCAGAGGGGAGGAGAAATGGTCCGGCTGGATGGAAGGAAAAACAGACGAGCCCTGCTATGGAAGCATCTAGCGCAGCACCCTGCCGGCCCCGGTACGTAGTGGTGAGAGCCAGGGGCAGCTCGCCACCACCAGGACTTTGGCCGGGGCGTCGCCTTACGACCCCGTGGCAGAGTGCGTGGGACGAAGTGTTGCCATGCACGCGCCCGACATGTGCTCCGCCGTCTCCGTCCGACACATGTGCCGCACACAAAGAAATCTGATAATACCCGACCTATATGGCCAAATAATAGCAGAGAGGGTGGAATACTTTTATTTTTTCTGTGGCGAAACGACACGATTCGCACAACGGCTCGTAGATACACCCACGGTATATGATAAACCAGTGGCCCTCTTCGCGGGGGACGTCTGGGCCGATATCTTACCCCGTCCATTAATTGATATATTTGGGAGTGTACCGAGCGTTTAACCTCGACTTACTCCTGCCGACGCATCTCTCTCTCTCTCTCTCTCTCTCTCTCTCTCTCTCTCTCTGACCGTGCCGGTCACCGGTCCTCGTTGGGTGCACCTCCCCTCCTGCAGTGCCCCTCCCCTCTCCTCCGCCCTTACACTTTCACTGCCGTCTCTACCTCCGATTACGTCTGTTACGTGGAGGATGTGAGGTCACTAGGCTACGCCGCTTCGCCCCACCGCGCCCCGCCGCCGGGCCGCTCTGGTCTGAGCGGAGTGGGGGGTTACACTGCACTCAACCGAATCGAGGGTCCCGGCGTGGCGGGGCGGGGCGGGGCGGGGCGGAGAAGGATATCAGCCTGATCCAAAGGGGCCTGGGGAGGTACTACTAGGTCTGGGTGTACTCGTTCACGAGGAGCGGCGGAACAGAGACGGGCGGAATTGATAGAGCACCGTGCCGCGCCAACCTACTTGTACGCGTGTCTGTTTGCAACTCCATTGCAATTACGGTTCCATTCATTGGAATTAGCAATTCAGCCCGATTGTGATGATTGTGCTCTTTGCGTCGCGCGAGCACACCGCCGTACCGTAGGCCGCCTTGCGTAAGGAGCCACCTGCTCGCGACATAATAAGTGTTGGTCACTCCCCAGCTCCATGGATTCCCACTCGTAAATATCGCCCCCTCTCCCTCTCTCTCGCCGGTCTGCTCCTTTGTCCTTCTGTCTCTGTCTCTCGCGCGGGCCGCCGGGCGCAGCCAGCACCGATTCCCTTCCCTCCTGCGCCCCCCTCCCCTCTCCAAGCACTTTCACTGGCCGAGTTGGGTTACATCAGAGTGAGGTCACCCGGTCATGCAGCCACGGATCGCCCTTCGCTCGCAGCATCTCAGGCATTATTTATACGAGAGGGAAATTGCCAGTTGCGAGAGGAAAAAGATGAGTGAAGGGCGGTGAATGGGCTGCTTGCTTTAGTAGGCACATGCATGTGCAGCTAAAGATGACCCAAATGCTATGTCATTTTTTCTCTTGAGAAGTAAATCTAACAAAGGGGGGGGGGCGTATAGGTGGAGGTAATTTTGGATCTCGTCGCAATCCCTTTTGCTCAACGGGGTCGTGAAGCACTAAGAGCGTTGTTGACCTACTTTTCGATTATAGACCAAATCCAATTTAGACAGATTCAGGGCAATATCACACCGGGTGCATTTGTTTTTGCTCTCAGCAGCAACAGCAGCCCTGTTTCAAGATGTCGAGCTTCTTTTTTAGTATTTTCTGGTTGGAGAGCTCTGCGCGCCGCACTACGCCACGCCGTGTCTGGCTTGGCCGTCGGCGTTTTTCGTCGAAGACAGCATTTCGCGGAACGAGCCGACGGGCCGCGGACATCTCGCGTTGGCGCGATGACATTCCGCGGATCATATCCGCTGGCCCGGCCAGAGAGACGAGCGGTAACGAGCAATAGACAGACGTAGTGCGTCGATGTCTATGTCCTATCGACGCGTTTCCCGTCGAAGAGACGTCAAATGCCCCGAAGGCTGCTCTTTCGCCGAAATCAGTTTTAGCCTCACTTATCAACTAAATAATCAGGTACTTGTAATTGCTGATCCCTATTAACTGATCAGCATTTTGAGAGAGGTGTACATTATTGGCTTATTTGCATTAGGTAGGAAATTGGCAAAAAGGACAAAAGACATACATGCATAGTGTTACTGGCTAATGAACAATGGATTTTTTTTAGATATCTTTAGGGCACAGGGAATTCCAGAGTTCCTCGTCAAACCCACAGACACAAATATAACCGTGACACAGCGTTGGTATTTACTGAAACTGTTACCATACAAAAACAGAACGGGAAAAAAATACTGAAGAAAATCGGCATTGAGTGAGCGTCTTCACAACTGACCTTTTTTGCCCAACTCTCCGTCCACTGCGTCCTAGCGATCGCCATCTTCACAAACCTCCTTGGTTGTACATTTTTTGCCATCCCATTGAACGCGACAACTCACACCTTTGTTTTTACCAGTCGCTCCGCCTGACACAACACAAGAAAAGATTCGTCTTTTGAGCGCAGTGTGCATTGAGGTCTCCTGTCGTCCAGAGAGAGAGAGAGAGAGAGAGAGAGAGAGAGAGAGAGAGAGATGGGGTCGCGAGAAGAGGGAGGAGAGGGAAGGGAGTGAATGTTGTGCCTCGCGCTGATGCGGTCTAGATATAGCGGAAAGTAGGTGCGCTCGCCACGCCGCGCCACGCCGCACCGCCCCACCCGGCGCGGAGGGGCCGTGCTGGCGTGGCGCAGCGCGGCGGGGCCGGAGAGTGAGCCAGTACGGTGGTGTAACACTTTCACTCTTACTTGGGATTACGTCTGCGGGAGCCTGCGAGGGGGAGGCAGGGAGGGGGTGGTAAACAAATGGCTCCCCGCCGCCCGCGCAGGACCAACACGTGCATACTCGCGCGGCGTGGGGCGGCGTGGCGCGGCGTGGGGCGACAGAGACGAGTTTTCTTCACTGCGCCAGTAAATCGAACCGCCGAATGAAATATACGGACAACGTTGCGCTAACACACACCTCTCACTTTCCTTCGCTGCTCCGCAAGCTGCAGCACTGCAGCGCTGGGCCTATGGGCCCCGGCGGCCGCCATAAAGCGGTGCCGGTAATAGCTTTGATATGCGTTCGGCCGAAATGGAAGTGTTGGCCGCCGGCCAAGGTACCGGGACCGGGTGGGAGGGAGCCGGGAGCATGCACTGACTGCTCTAAAGCCCTGTGGCTGGCGGCTGCGGCTGGGCTGGGCGTTGCGCGAGGGTCCTCTAGGCGTTTCCTGCTTTTTCTGTACGCGGTGACGACGTTCACTCATAAAAGTCCGTTTTTGACCACACACTAGGCACTTGTTTTTAGCACATATACAACGACGAGTTAAAGTAAAGAACAGTTAAAAATTGCTGAACCACTCAGTGTTAGTAATATACATTAAGAGTTACTACTGGATAACTTTCCATGATGCGTGTGTTGTAAAATTACAATTCAAAACTGTAACATTACAAGTAAGACTTGGAATGCATTTTCCAGCAAGATGTGCTGTCTTAAATTGCAACATATTTTGTAATGTGCAATTAACGGATGTATTTTTCACAGTGCTAATTGTTGGTAATTACGTAGGGCCATTCAAAAAAAACTCTGCCAATCGTTCTCAGATTGTTCTGGTCAAAAAAAAGTCCTCTAGTTTCTGGGACAAAAAAAAAAAACTTGCTTTACATTTAGAGTGTTTAAGCTGACAAGAAATAAATGACATCACACACTCGAAGGTCTATCAAAGCTGAGAATGATGATCTCACACAAGATAAGATGCCAATAAGTGTCGCGATATGACCCGCGGCATCACCTCTATTTATGTATATGATCTTTGTCCCTCTAGTTTAATCAATAACATTCAGTGCCGTGCCGTAAGTCATAAAGTAAAACTTCCTTCAGGTGTAGGCTTTATATCACCAAGTGCACTAGAATACTTGAGCAAAGCACTTTGTAATTGCAAACCGATTGCGAATGAATTCCTTTTGTAATGCGAAGAAAATTCTTCGCAATTGCGAATAAATTCTTTCGTAGGCTTACAAAGCA